CTAATATTTAATTATTCTTTTACTATAAAAAGTAAACATATATAATATAGTAAGAAAGTTTAAATAAATGAATTTCAGATATACTTGACATCTGTGACTTTTACCTAGGAATTTTCAGAACAATGTATGTTGTAAGACAACTATACAATGAGCCTTGTTGCACGCTGCAACTACATTTAAGGCCTAGAAGAGAAATGGCAAAAAGTAGGTCCCTCTAGGGAAAGGGACTGTGAGTAAGGAAAAGGGAAACAAGGGACTGTTTTTTCATCTTAAGATCTTTTAATTCTCTTCTTATTGTTTTATACTATTATCACTTTGACAAACATTTTAAACAAATTTATATGTATAGTGTGTATCAAAAAATCATTGAAGTCTCTGACATAAACTAATCACATTATAAATTATCAACAGCCTTAAAAGTGATTCTATCCCCTACTAACATTTTGAATCATGTTCTGAATTACAATTCCTATTTCGGTACTTACAAAAGTATGGTCTTGGTACTATTATTTTACTGAATTCGAATTCACTGAAAACTGATGATAGTAAAAACACACACAAAAAGAGAAAGTGCATATGTTAATATACTTGAAACACTCTATTCCTCAATCTTTCCTCAGAAATCTGGATTTATTACTTGTTTCTCCTCTATATCTATCAGGTAATCATCAATTAAATATATGGGCTGTCTAAGCCTGTCTGTAAATCATGAATAAGCCATACACGCCAGATTTTCTGATGGCACTGTCCAGACTGTGCCATTTATCGTAGTGACATTACTATCACTTGTGCATGCCACACACAGCATGGCCAAAAATAAAATAAAATAAGGGTCCTAACTTCATCAGAACAAATAATTATTTGAAATACAGTAGTAGTCAAATTAAGAGTACTAAGAGTAAGTATCAAGAAAAACAAACTCTGAGGGTGCAAATGAAGCAAAAATTAGAATGAAAGCAGATTCATTCATTTAATAATTATGGATTTTTGAGGGGGACCAGAAGTGAAGAATCAAATGCAATCTCATTTCAGAAGGGTCACATAGGATACAAATTAAGAAGCTTCCAGGTCGCACTTGCATGCATTTCTGTCAAGTTCATCCTAGGCCTCGTGGTCCACAGTAAAGCTAGGGAAGTAACCAAACTATTCCGACAATTGTGACAACTAAATTATAAGACGTGGTGAGGAGAATTCGAAACTTCTGTGCTGCAAGCAGGTTTTAACAAATTGATCCTAAAACAAAAAGGACAAAACCCAGGAAATCTCAGTTCTGGAACACGTTCAAACGTAATTACGGTGTCTTAGTGTACACAATCAAGCTGACAGGAGTGAATAAAGCACGCTTCTTTGAGCGAAGGATCTCCAAACTTGCAGCAGGAGAGAGAACAGCACATTCGTTAGCACGAGAGGAAAATGGGAAACGGTCTTTTAGGTGCAGGATACAATCCCTCATGGGGGAGGGAGCTGACGAGGATTTGGGGAGCTGCAACAGAGGGGTTGGCCATAAACCCACCCCATGATTCCGGGAAGCCGCGGTAGGGGAGACAACCGGCGACAGGGGAAGCGCAAGTAAACTGGCTGAAGTCCCCAGCCTTGCTGCTGCCAGCTCCAGACTCCCCAAGAGAGGCGGGGAGGGAAGGACCCGCGGGATGGGCCCACGCGCCTTCATCCCTCTCCCCGGCCCCGAACCTACCGTGGAACTCGAAGTGGCCGATGCTTTGGCCCTGAGCGTCTCGGGCCGTGGCGCTACTGAAGCTGCCCCGCAGCGTCTTACCCTGGCTGCCTGGTGGCCACCAGCAGCAGGTGAGGGCCACTGCCAGAAGCCGCAGCCCCCCCATCCCCGCCTCCTGCTCGGTACCCACACCCCAACCCCTAACCGCCCGCGGCCGCGGCCCCACGTCGACAGCTTGAGATGGGGGGAGGGGGATGATAGGAGCAGGACCGGCATCGCGGGCCCGCCCCCAGGAGAATAGCAGCCAATGAAATGGGCCCCTCCGCCATGATCCAAGGGTATCCACCAATCAGAGGCTGACATGGGCGGGACTGCAGATACGGGAGTCCCATCACTCCCCGGCGTGTTGGCTAGTTCCCGCCTTTTTTATGGAGACTCAGGAGGATGTTGCTTCTGGTTATGGAAAAATTATTGCCCTTCTCTCAGCCGCGCGCGTGGTGCCACTGCGCATGCGCCTGCGCGTGGCATCGGCCCGAAAGGTTTTCCCGTGATGTGTGGGTTTCGGAAAGAAGACAGACACAACAGCACCATTTCTGGTGACGTGAGGAAATGCTCCACCCAAGAAAGTCCTATGTGCCCAATTTGATGTCTCAAAGGCAGGAAACTGCCCCTGTCCACAGCTTAACGCCTGGCCACTCGGCACCTCCAACCGACTTTTCCCTCCTAGGTTTCCTGTCTTCCTGTGTTATGCCATTATCCCGGAGGCCAGAGAGCTGAGAATTGTAGCAACCCCTCACCCCTACCCCAACCTCCATCCCTAAGCTCCCTCCATCCAATCAGTTCAAAGAACCAGTTTATTAGCGCTTCTTCCGTTCGAAGTACTAGCCTCTGTGCTACCCAGGCCACCAACTTACCATCCTTTACTTGGCCTATGACAACTGATTTGACAATAGTTTTCTTCAAGTGGTTACCCACAGTCCATCTCTACACTAGAACCACAGAAAGCTTTGGGAAACACTGTATGACTGCATCACTTGCCTTCAGAGGCTCTCTGCCTTAGCACACAACTCAAACTCTTCAGAATATGATTTTCAAGCCTCTCAGATTTCCTTCTCTCAGTGTTTGATGTCCATCCTTATACGGAGCCACTGTAGTTTGCTGGACACACTCCAAATGCTCCCCTCTGGGCCTATAGCATTTGCAGATCCCTCTGGCTGCAGTACTTCACATATTCTACTGTTTAACCCCCACGTTATCTCATTTTCCTACTCTATTTTCCCAAGGCACGTTAAGAAGACATTCTCAAGCCTTCAGATCTGTGTTAGATACCCCAAGAACCAGAATCTCTTACTACCCTACCTGGACACTTAACCAAACTATATTGTAAATGTCTACTGATTTATCTGAATACCTTAATATATTGTAAGCTCCAGCTGGTCAAAGACTATATCTTGAGAGTAGACGCTCAAAATCATTTCATGAATAAATGTGTATAAATTATTTTCATTTGACAACAAGCTTTTATTACATATAAGCAAGTTCTCACAACAGACCTTGTAATTTAGAAAAGGAAACCTTGAGGGAAAACTTCATATCATGTATCCAGCATTTTCTATAACTCTGGCTGACTAGGAATAAACTGGAGATATTAATATTATGAGATTTTTAAAAATAACATTATTTTTAATTATAAAAGTAACTCATGCTGCTTAGAAAAAATTTAGACAAAAAGTATGAGATAAAAATGGAAGTCCTCATTTCCTCATTTCCCTGCTCATACTGATACCAAATGTAACTCCTTGTTAATAGTTCAGGGTGGATCCTTTAAGACTTACATTTACAAATTGGTGGTGTTCAAAAACCAAGGACAGGAATAAAATTGGTCCTGAAAAAAATCTGAACATGGGCCTTGAATACTGTGAAGATTTCTTCTTTTTCTAATCTTCATGATCATCTTCATTTCTCTCTCTCATTGAAGACAGGCTTCTTGCTTCCTCATTTCATTTGAATGAGTATAGCTAACAAGTCACAAATTTTTATAGGTCCTCAGAGTTCAATAAGAGCAACCAGACTATGCTGAAACCTTAGCCCAATTCCAAATCTCAGGAAGAGGATTCATTTAGCCTATGGTGAGTCAGATGCACATTCTATGGTCTGCCTGGGTGAGTAACTTGGGAACATCAGCAAAGGTAGGGAAGTCTGGTCAGATAAAACCATAGGTATTCCCTGCAATATATTTTGGCCTTCATTCCTTGTTGCAACATCCTTTTTAAAGGCCATTATCATTCAATTGCATTAAATTAAATTTTAGAGCCCATTGCATTAAATTTTATCAGCCCATTACATTTAAAAAGTGAGACAATACTAGTAGGCATATACATTGTATCCAGATTTTCATTATTGTAAGCAACATAAAAGTGAACATATTTTTTTTTGCAATATCTATATTATACATCATGAAACTTGGGGATCATAGAGTGGTCTGTCAAAGCTATGGTTTTTCCATCGTCATGTATGGATGTGAGAGTTGGACTGTAAAGAAGGCTGAGCACCGAAGAACTGATGCTTTTGAACTGCAGTGTTGAAGAAGACTCTTGAGAGTCCCTTGGACTGCAAGGAGATCCAACCAGTCCATCCTAAAGGAAATCAGTCCTGAATATTCATTGGAAGGACTGATGCTGAAGCTGAAACTCCAACACTTTGGCCACCGGGTGTGAAGAACTGGCTCATTGGAAAAGACCCTAATGCTGGGAAAGATTGAAGGCGGGAGGAGGGGAGGACAGAGGATGAGATGGTTGGATGGCATCACCGACTCGATGGACATGAGTTTAAGTAAGCTCCGGGAGTTGGTGATGGACAGGGAAGCCTGGCGTGCTGCAATTGATGGGGTCGCAAAGAGTCAGACACGACTGAGCGGTTGAACTGAACTGAGAGTGGTCTCTGCGTTTGAAATTTTCATGTATGTTACTACTTGTTTCCCCCAAAAGGCTGTAACAAAAAGACACTTCCACGTATACTGAGTATTCCCATTCTTCTTGCGTGCGTGCTAAGTCGCTTCAGTCCTGTCCGACTCTGTGCGACCCTATGGACTGCACACTGCCAGGTTTCTGGGTTCATATAATTCTCGGCTGTTTGGGCGCGCACACAGGAGGGCCCCGCCCAGCCCTCGGTGGGCGGGGACAAGACCGTCCTAGCTCCGGAAGCAGCAGCTATCTGCGCCTTGAACGTGTCGCGGGGAGTGGGACGTGTCGCAAAAAGTCGCGGTGGAAATTCCCTACGATCTACAGACCTGTCACTTTACGGTGCCAAGCCCTGCTGAGCCTGGGAGATGTCGGCTGCGGGCCGCGCCGAGTCCTTGGGTCCTCCCGACAGCTTTGCGAAGCGGGTCCTGGTGACCGGGGGTGCTGGTTTCATGTAGGTAACGGCGCCGCTGGCCGAGTAGTGGCTCCCCAGAAACCCCAGCCTTTTCCTGCGCCTCTGCTTGCCCTTGGCAACTTGGGACCAGCTTTGGGGATCTGATTGACAGGGGGAGGGTCTTAACCCACGACCTGGATCGTTCTACCTTCTCCCCCTTTCCCGCCTGCGAAGACGTGGCTCCTTTGAAACCACGATTTCTTTTAAACGTCTCCCAATCAAAGCAGAAGTGCCGTGGTACTGTCCCCCTTTCTACCTGGCCCAAGATGTACCTGTCACTCTTTTGAGCACTCCCGCTTTGCAGAAAGCTTCTCATCAACTGCTCCAACCCCGGTCCAGTTCCCATCCCATCCTCACCCCGTCGAAACACCAGGCCTTGTACGTGTAGGCTTCATGAAATGGTTTTTGGATTATGAGAGCGGTTTCATTTATGCAGCCGACTTAAAAAAAAAAAAATCCTCTGCTGGTGTTTTGACCTATAGTAGTCGTCTGAAAGCCTCTTTCCGTCTTACACCCGTATTTAATCAGCAAGTCCTCTCTCTACTTCGTAAGCAGCCACTTCTCACCTTCCTCCCCATTCGACCCTAAACCCTGTTACTGTCTGCTTTTGCCTAGCCTACTACTGTAACCTCCTGATTAGTCATACCTCTTTCACCCTTGTTCCCTTAGAGCTTGTTCTCACGCACAGAGTCTGTGTTTGTTAAGTAAACAAGTGTCTCGTTTCACTCCAAAGGTTCCTTTCAGGCTTAAAATAATATCCAGACTCTTAGCCACATCTAGAAGACTCTCAGGTGCCCAAGCTGGAACCTGATCTCCTGTCTTTCTTCCTCTTGCTTTTCTGTGCCTTCCACCCTTGCCCCCTGAAACATAGGAGGCTAGTTCCTCCTCTTTTGAGGCCTTGGTCCTTGCTTCCCTTTTGCTGATGTGCTTTGTTTGCGTCACTCAGCTCAGATGTTTGCTCAGACATCACCTCCTCCTGGCCCACCCTATCTGAGTAGCCCCTCTCCCAACTAACACACTTAACTACTCCCTGAAATAATATTGCATATTTGTGTTTACTTGCTTACTGTCTGCATTCATACCCTAGGATGTAAACTGGTGAGGGCAGAGACTATGGTTCCCTCAACACCTGGCAGAATGCTCCCACCCCATTAGTACATTAGATCACTTCTTCTAATGGGACAGTGACTTGGAGGAGGGTACTAGGCAAGTTTTCTTTAGTGAAAGGGAAGCGTGGGCATAGAAGGGTGGTAAAGTGCTGGCCCAGGAAAGGTACATCCTAGAAAATTCTGTGAAAGAGCTATCAGGTACAAACTCTGGATTCATAATTTGTTCCTAGGAGCCCAGCGTTTTGGTGCATGTGATAAAATCTGGTGGATTATCTCACAGAGAGATGCCTCTGTCTCCACTTCAGGGTCCATCTGATACCCATGAAACCTCAGGATGGTTTCAGCAGTTCTTAGTCTTGGAAACCAAGGTTTACCCTGGAACTTCTCTAGGACCTTCCTCTCTCCCCACCCCCAGGATTCTACTTTACACCACCAAATTCTTATATCAAGAAATAGGGTTTTTGTAGACATGCAGAAATTGCAATAAGGTTACAGTGAACATGGACAATTCCCATGCTCATAAGAGCTTAATTTTTACACAGTTATGCCTCCAGTCTCTGCAAAAGCACATTATAGTTTAAGTCCATGTGCACTGACCATCACCTGTTGTATTTATGATATTGCTTTACTCCCATACTCAAAGCATGCATGGATAGCATCTTTTGGCTAATTATTTTCTTATATCCAGGACCAATAAATTCTCTCTTCACCATAGTGTAAAAGGGAATGTAAGACTTTGTATATCAATACTGTTGAGAAGATTAATGAAAAAATGTGGATGGTATATTCAGTGTCGTTATTCTTTCTGTCATCTTGCAATAATTTGATGGCATCTTTGAATAGTTTCCTAATACTCAATAGCTTAGGGTAACATTTGAAAATTTAAGGAAAAGGTTAAATTTCTACTAACAAGATATGTTTTTTTCTATAGAGCATCACATATGATTGTCTCTTTAGTAGAAGATTATCCAAACTATATGATCATAAATCTAGACAAGGTAAGTTTGACAAAAATGAGCTCCATATAAAAAGAAAATGAACTCTGTGTACTGAAACTTATTTATATTTTTAAAAAGTATTAGAATCCTGTCATGCTGATATTTTAGTTTTGCATTTGGTCATTTTTAGCAACTTAGGAGCCTACCTAGTCATGTGATCATATAGGTTTTTAATCTTACATAAAGTCTTGATACTTTTAAATTTGTTATGATAGCCCATAATGTAAAGATTTTAAGTATAGTGTTTTTACTGTAAGAAAGTCTTCACTCTAAATTCAATTATTTTGATTATTCTGATTATTTTATTTTATTATATGGTTTTATAACTGCCACACCCTGAAAATTGTATATTTATTTTAAAAACTAAAGTGTAGTTAAGTTAATTTAGTTTTGAGAGTATTTGTGTAATAATTGTAATCTCCTTGGAGATTCTGAAAGCCATGATTCATAATCATTGCATTGTTGACTTTAAGCACAGGATACAATTAGTTACCATAATTTCATAAAGCATAATAGTAAAAAATATACAGACAAAAAAAAATCTTTAAGTCAATAATTTTTGCCTGCCAACCATGGACAATAAGTTTTCCCCCATTGGTATACACTGATTTGCTAATTATGTTATGGTTAGAAAATCTATAGTGTTTAAAATAAATTGATATTTTATAAGAAAAGCTATTTATTATCACTTTTTGTGTTGTTTTTGTCCCCCTTACTTATTTTAAGTTGGATTACTGTGCAAGCTTGAAGAATCTTGAAACCATTTCTAATAAACAAAATTATAAATTTATACAGGTATGAAAGTATTCTTGTAATTATATAATTATTTTGTCCTGTGCCTCTTTAGTCATTCAGACATTATTATAGCTTTCTACTTTATAAACTTGTGTGATATAGGCTTGGAAAGCATGCTTATTAATGACCTTTTAAATTTCAGAAGCACATGTGCTATAGAGAATATTACTGATACTTGTAGATTAGTACTGCATTATAGTTACATGTGATTTTTGGTGCCTTGGCTGATCTGAGTAGCTGATTGAACTTCTATGGTATGTAATTTTTATGTCCTCACTAGCCTTCTAAATAAGGCCTTGCTGGGATTTAAAGAGATTGATACAAAGTAGGATGTTACTCAGGCCAGTCAGGCATCAAAAGCCCAGCTTACAGCCCATGGTAGTTTTTTCCCATGAAATTGATGAATTGGACCTGGGATGCTGATTATTACTAGCCGCTCTTCGAAGAGTCCAAAGAATAAGCCAGGTCACTGATTCAGAAAGGGAAATTTTAATGTCAAATGGAACTACCTTGTGGTTTATGTTATTTTAAGTAATTGTACAAACTCTCTTTTTAACAGCAGATCGTAAAGATTATACTAGGCAAACATTTCATAATTTTTTTCTTCTGTGTGAAAGTGTTTCCTTCAGTTACTGAAGAATTGTTAAGAATACATATTTTTAGAACTAATATATACATATAACATTAAAAATATTTACTTAGTTGTGGTGAAATCCATAATACAGTTGTTACACTTATTTTGGATATACTTCAATAATGGTTATCTCAAACTTTAAAAAATATGTTTAAATTTTTTCCTGTTAACATAGTTACCTCAGGTTGGCAAGAATATTAAGGGAAAAAAACTAGCACAGTCTATAGTAGTAGTTGGTGCTAAAAAAAATACTGTTTTAGATACTTATTTACAAAAACATATTTTGAATTGAATATCTTATATACTAGAATGCAGGAGAAATACCCCATTACTGTCCGTACTTCACCCCTCAATTGAATTTTCAAGATATTCTTTTCTATACCTGGGGTGGGATTAACTTTTTTCTTATCTTTTTTTTTTTTTGTTCATGAAATAAAATGGTTATTATGATTGAGAATGCTCAATGAGACTTCGCTTTTTCATGTTTGCTTTTTTATATAGGGTGACATATGTGATTCTCACTTCGTGAAACTACTTTTTGAAACGGAGAAAATAGACATAGTACTACATTTTGCCGCACAAACACATGTAGGTAAGCATTGTTTTATGTTGCAGCTATGATAGGCAAAGTTTTTTTCCAGTGTCTAGCCAAAATCAAGGTCCAATAATGGGGTTGAACAAATAGGTACTTAACATATGTGAAAGAACATATACCAAGTTTTATCAGAATAGCCCATGGTCACTCTGTCATCAAGATACTTGGTGCTTTCCAGATTACTTGTGTTAGTGTAGAGTAAAATGTAACCTTGAACATTATCTGAAAACTGAGTTTAACCAAATCCAGAACAGTGATTCCTTCTGGGGAAATGGGCCTTCAGCTGTATTTTTATATTGTTTTTCTTAAGGTGAATGGTCGATACACAGTTAAACATTATATTATTATCTGTACTGTTCTGTGCTGAGATATCTTCTAATAATTTGTCTAGCATTTTATGTTACGCAATATAGCATATATTCAGAAGAATTTAGAAGTAAGGTTAAATGAATGATGATAATAAAATACCCAGGTAGCCATCACCTAAACAAAAGGTAGAATGTTGCTGAACCCTCTTTAGAAGTAGTATTGCTACTGCCTTAGTACTTGATTTTTAAGTTGCAATTTCCCTTGGTGTTCTGTGCAGCTTTATTGTCTCTATTTATCTCTAAATATCTCTGTATTTATCTCTAAAGAGTTTAGGTTAGTTTTGTCTGTTTTTAGATTTTATAAAAAGGCACACATAAAGTAACATGTAGGTGTGTTTGGTCTTGATTTTCCATGCTGGTAGATTCATCCATGCAGTTGGGTGGAGATATAGTTTCTTCATTGTCAGTGACGTAGAGTATTCATCTCTTTAAGTATATAACACTTCCTGTGCCTGTTTTACTCTTGTTGGACATTTGGATTATTTGCACTTGGGGGAATTTTGAACAGTACTACCATTAAAACATTCTTACACATGCATCTTGGTACACATTAATACACATTTCTCTCAGTATAGCCCTGGCATCATAAGATCTGCACACTTCAATGTAGAGATAATTTCCAATTAGTTCCCAAAGCAACTGTATGAATTTCTTCTCCTTTAGGAACGTAGGAAACCTCCTTTTATTCCAGATGTCACCAAATCTTAGTTGTTAGTTTTTTTCCATTTTTGTCAGTCTGAGTAATGTGCAGAGTGATATCTCATATGGTTTTAATTTGTATTTCCCTGATTACTAATGAAGCTGTGTACCTTTTATAGGTTTCTTAATAATTTGAATTTCTTGTTTTGTGAAATCCTATTGAAATATTTTGCCTGTTTGTAAATTAGTTGCCTTTTTCTCACTGATTTGTAGGAGTATAGTATATACACATATACCCACACATATGTGTATAGACTGGATACTAGTCCTTTGTTGTGTGTATTACAGATATCTTTTTCTCCACTCTGTGGCTTATCTTTTCATGTTTTTGCTAGTGTATTTTAATGAGCAGATATTCTTACATAAATTATGAATTAATTTATGTATCTTCTGTTATTGTTAATGTTTTGGGGGTCTTAAGAAATTCTCTTTCACCCCAAGGTCTTGAAGATATTCTCCTATATTATTTTTGAAAAGGTTTGCAGTTTCACCTTTCACATTTCGATTTGTAATCCATTTGAAATAGATTTTTACATGCAGTATAAGATGAGAATCCAGTTTTATTTTTGAATACTAATTGGACCTCTTTTACTCATGGGAAAGCTCACCAGTTTTCACTGCCCTCTCATATATCAAGTATCTTTATGCAAGAAACTGTTTCTCAACTCCCCATTTGTCTATTTGTCTGTGCCTGTGCTGATTACACAATATATTGACTAATCTTTCATATCTATTAGAACAAATCCTTTTACTTGATTAATGACAAAGCAGTTTTCCTTCCAGCAGTTTATAAGATGCTTACCAGTACTTCCTGTTGTCAGCCTTTGGTGACTTTATTATATTTTCCCCTGATTATTAATGAGGTTAAAACCTTTGCATTTGTTTATTGGGGTATTCTCGTCGCTTTCCTATTCGTATATGTCTTTAGAAAGTTTCTGTGTAAGTAAGTCTCTATACCATTTTCTAAAGGATTGTCAGTTTTTTTCATTACAGATTTTTATTAGTCATTTATTTATTTCTTTACTTTTGACCTCACCACATGGCTTATGGGATCTTAGTTCCCTGACCAGGTATCGAATCCCGGGGCTACAGCAGTGAAAGCGCCTAGTGCCAACCACTGTACCACCAGGGAATTCCTCTATAAGTCCCTTACTTACTCTGAATTCAAGGCTTTTGCCACTACTGTTTTTCAATCTGTGATTGGCCTTTTCACTTTCTTAAAGGTATCTTTTGACCAGTTGAAATTCTTCACTTCAGTGTAGTCCAGTTTGTCTACCTTTTTCTATAGGGTTAGTTCTCTGTAATCTATGTAAGAATTCTTTTCATACCTCCAAGGGCATGGAGATATTCTCTTATATTCTTTTCATAAAAGTTATTGTTTTGCCTTCTACATTCAGATTTTTTTTCCTTATGTCAATATCAGTTTGGCCCAACACAGTTTATTGAAAAGACTCAGCCTTTTCCCATTGCCCCTTTATTGGAAATCAAGTACCCATATATGCACGGTTCTGTTTCTGTGCTCCTGTTCGGTTTCACTGGTCTTTGTCTATCCTAATGCCATTACCACACTCTAATTACTATAACTTTTTAATAATTCTTGATACCAGCAAAGCAAACCCTCCTACCTTTTAGTTCCAAAATTTTATTTTATTTATTTATTTATTTTTTACAGGCTCTGAGCTTTATTCTCCCCCAGGGTCTTTATTTTATTTATTTATTTTTTTCCCATTTATTTTTATTAGTTGGAGGCTAATTACTTTACATCATTGCAGTGGGTTTTGTCATACATTGAAATGAATTAGCCATGGATTTACATGTATTCCCCATCCCGGTCCCCCCTCCCACCTCCCTCTCCACCAGATCCCTCTGGGTCTTCCCAGTGCACCAGGCCCGAGCACTTGTCTCATGCACCCAACCTGGGCTGGTGATCTGTTTCACCCTAGATAATATACGTGTTTTGATGCCGTTCTCTTGAAACATCCCACCCTCGCCTTCTCCCAGAGTCCACAAGTCTGTTCTATACATCGGAGTCTCTTTTTCTGTTTTGCATATAGGGTTATCGTTACCATCTTTCTAAATTCCATATATATGTGTTAGTATACTGTAATGGTCTTTATCTTTCTGGCTTACTTCGCTCTGTATAATGGGCTCCAGTTTCATCCATCTCATTAGAACTGATTCAAATGAATTCTTTTTAATGGCTGAGTAATATTCCATGGTGTATATGTACCACAGCTTCCTCATCCATTCGTCTGCTGATGGGCATCTAGGTTGCTTCCATGTCCTGGCTATTATAAACAGTGCTGCGATGAACATTGGGGTGCACGTGTCTCTTTCAGATCTGGTTTCCTCGGTGTGTATGCCCAGAAGTGGGATTGCTGGGTCATATGGCAGTTCTATTTCCAGCTTTTTAAGAAATCTCCACACTGTTTTCCATAGTGGCTGTACTAATTTGCGTTCCCACCAACAGTGTAAGAGGGTTCCCTTTTCTCCACACCCTCTCCAGCATTTATTGCTTGTAGACTTTTGGATAGCAGCCATCCTGACTGGTGTGTAATGGTACCTCATTGTGGTTTTGATTTGCATTTCTCTGATAATGAGTGATGTTGAGCATCTTTTCATGTGTTTGTTAGCCATCTGTATGTCTTCCTTGGAGAAATGTCTGTTCAGTTCTTTGGCCCATTTTTTGATTGGGTCATTTATTTTTCTGGAGTTGAGCTGGAGGAGTTGCTTGTATATTTTTGAGATTAATCCTTTGTCTGTTGCTTCGTTTGCTATTATTTTCTCCCAATCTGAGGGCTGTCTTTTCACCTTGCTTATAGTTTCCTTTGTTGTGCAAAAGCTTTTAAGTTTCATTAGGTCCCATTTGTTTATTTTTGCTTTTATTTCTAAAATTCTGGGATGTGGGTCAGAGAGGATCCTGCTGTGATTTATGTCGGAGAATGTTTTGTCTATGTTCTCCTCTAGGAGTTTTATAGTTTCTGGTCTTACATTTAGATCTTTAATCCATTTTGAGTTTATTTTTGTGTATGGTGTTAGAAAGTGTTCTAGTTTCATTCTTTTACAGGTGGTTGACCAGTTTTCCCAGCACCACTTGTTAAAGAGGTTGTCTTTTTTCCATTGTATATCCTTGCCTCCTTTGTCGAAGATAAGGTGACCATAGGTTCGTGGATTTATCTCTGGGCTTTCTATTCTGTTCCATTGATCTATATTTCTGTCTTTGTGCCAGTACCATACTGTCTTGATGACTGTGGCTTTGTAGTATAGTCTGAAGTCAGGCAGATTGATTCCTCCAGTTCCATTCTTCTTTCTCAGGATTACTTTGGCTATTCGAGGTTTTTTGTATTTCCATACAAATTGTGAAATTATTCGTTCTAGTTCTGTGAAAAATACCGTTGGTAGTTTGATAGGGATTGCATTGAATCTGTAGATTGCTTTGGGTAGTATAGCCATTTTGACAATATTGATTCTTCCAATCCATGAACACGGTATATTTCTCCATCTGTTTGTGTCCTCTTTGATTTCTTTCATCAGTGTTTTATAGTTTTCTATGTATAGGTCTTTTGTTTCTTTAGGTAGATATACTCCTAAATATTTTATTCTTTTTGTTGCAATGGTGAATGGTATTGTTTCCTTAATTTCTCTTTCTGTTTTCTCATTGTTAGTGTATAGCAATGCAAGAGATTTCTGTGTGTTAATTTTATATCCTGCAACTTTACTGTATTCGTTGATTAGCTCTAGTAATTTTCTGGTAGAGTCTTTAGGATTTTCTATGTAGAGGATCATGTCATCTGCAAACAGCGAGAGTTTCACTTCTTCTTTTCCTATCTGGATTCCTTTTATTTCTTTTTCTGCTCTGATTGCTGTGGCCAACACTTCCAAAACTATGTTGAATAGTAGTGGTGAGAGTGGGCACCCTTGTCTTGTTCCTGATTTCAGGGGAAATGCTTTCAATTTTTCACCATTGAGGGTGATGCTTGCTGTGGGTTTGTCACATATAGCTTTTATTATGTTGAGGTTTGTTACTTCTATTCCTGCTTTCTGGAGAGTTTTAATCATAAATGGATGTTGAATTTTGTCAAAGGCTTTTTCTGCATCTATTGAGATAATCATATGGTTTTTATCTTTCAATTTGTTAATGTGGTGTATTACATTGATTGATTTGCGGATATTAAAGAATCCTTGCATTCCTGGGATAAAGCCCACTTGGTCATGATGTATGATTTTTTTAATATGTTGTTGGATTCTGTTTGCTAGAATTTTGTTAAGGATTTTTGCATCTATGTTCATCAGTGATATTGGCCTGTAGTTTTCTTTTTTTGTGGCATCTTTGTCTGGTTTTGGAATTAGGGTGATGGTGGCCTCATAGAATGAGTTTGGAAGTTTACCTTCTTCTGCAATTTTCTGGAAGAGTTTGAGTAAGATAGGTGTTAGCTCTTCTCTACATTTTTGGTAGAATTCAGCTGTGAAGCCATCTGGTCCTGGGCTTTTGTTTGCTGGAAGATTTCTGATTACAGTTTCGATTTCCTTGCTTGTGATGGTTTTGTTAAGATCTTCTATTTCTTCCTGGTTCAGTTTAGTTCCAAAACTTTTAAAATTTAAGAGCACTGAAAATTTTAGCTGTGTCATTTCTTTTTAGAATTAAAAAAAAAAGTGTTTCCTGCAAATATAGCACTGATAGTTTTCTAGGTTCTAAGAATGTACATGTAGTATGTAATTTGATCTTGAAGAAATCATAAATAGCATTGCACCTTTATGTTAGTTTATGCTGTTGCAGTTTTGGTAAATGAAAAAAAGTGAATATAGCTCTTCTTTGAGACACCATGGACTATAAGCCGCCAGGCTCCTCTGTCCATGGGATTCTCCAGGCAAGAATACTGGAGTGGGTTACCATGCCCTCCTCCAGGGGATCTTCCCAACCCAGGGATTAAACCCAAGTTTCCCGCATTGCAGGCGGATTCTTTACCATCTGAGCCACCAGGGAAGCCCAAGCCTGAGTCTCAGTTCAGTTCAGTCCAGTCACTCAGTCGTGTTCGACTCTTTGCGACCCCATGAACCGCAGCATGCCAGGCCTTCCTGTCCATCACCAACTCCCGGAGTCCACCCAAACCCATGTCCATTGAGTCAGTGATGCCATCCAACCATCTCATCCTCTGTTGTCCCCTTCTCCTCCTGCCCTCAATCTTTCCCAGCATCAGGGTCTTTTCAAATGAGTCAGCTGTTCACATCAGGTGGCCAAAGTATTGGAGCTTCAGCTTCAACATCAGTCCTTCTAATGAACACCCAGGATTGATCTCCTTTAGGATGGACTGGTTGGATCTCCTTGCAATCCAAGGGTCTCTCAAGAGTCTTCTCCAACACCACAGTTCAAAAGCATCAATTCTTCGGTGCTCAGCTTTCTTTATAGTCCAACTCTCACATCCATACATGACTACTGGAAGAACCATAGCCTTGACTAGACGGACCTTTGTTGGCAAAGTAATGTCTTTGCTTTTTAATATGCTGTCTAAGTTGGTCATAACTTTCCTTCCAAGGAGCAAGTGTCTTTTAATTTCATGGCGCAGTCACCATCTGCAGTGATTTTGGAGCCTCCCAAAATAAAGTCAGCCACTGTTTCCCCATCTATTTGCGATGAAGTGATGGGACCAGATGCCATGATCTTAGTTTTCTGAATGTTGAGTTTTAAGCCAACTTTTTCACTCTCCTCTTTCACTTTCATCAAGAGACTCTTTAGTTCTTCTTCACTTTCTGCCATAACCGTGGTGTCATCTGCATATCTGAGGTTATTGATATTTCTCCCAGCAATCTTGATTCCAACTTGTGCTTCATCCAGCCCAGCATTTCTCATGATGTACTCTGCATATAAGTTAAATAAGCAGGGTGACAATATACAGCCTCAGTCTACTGGTTGCTATTTCCTTTGTCCCTTGAAAGGAACTGTTCTGAATTTTTCTTCTTTTTTTTAGACCTTTCATTCGTCCGTGCCTTTGAGTTTACCTACGTTAATGTTTACGGTACTCATGTGTTGGTAAGTGCTGCTCATGAAGCCAGAGTGGAGAAATTTATTTACGTCAGCACAGATGAGGTCTATGGAGGCAGTCTTGATAAGGTGAGCTTAGAAAATGTCTGTTTCAGCTACTTACCCTGTACCACCATACAAACAAACCTGTCTGATGAAAATACTCTGGACTTTTTTTTAACCCTCTGATTTTACACACTTGTGGGACTCTTCAGACTGTTATTCCATTGTGTCTTCTGTTTAAATCAAATAATGCCACCCCACACAGGGAGCAACAGCCTAGTCTGGTACAGATTTTATATAATTCGACTGACAGTATTTTGAAAGCGAGCTCTTACTGACCACCCAGTCTTACATCATGAATGTCATTCCCATGGCCCAGTGCATGTGTAAGTTAGGCTGCAGCGTAAGGCCTGTCTCCCTTATCTTCTGCTCAGAAAAGCACATTGAACTGTCAAGGAGTTAGTGTGAAATTGTTATAGAAGCTGGAATCTGTTCTCCTTTGTTAATCATTTGTAAACATTATACTTTTACACAAAAAGTGGCTCCATTGTTCAGTCTTTATCTTTCATAGTGTTTACAGTGACCTCATTTTATTTTTAAAATATGTTTACTTACCAAAGCACATATAGAGTGGGGAAAAAAAAGTAGCTTGAAAGAACTTATAGTAAGAAAAAGCAGACCTGACCGTTTCTTTTTAATGCCCCATCCCACTTCTGAGAATCAACCATTTGCTAAATCTTTCTGCAATTTTTATCATGCAAGCCTCTTCCTTCTTATACTCTCATCGACCTACATCAGATCTGACATAGTAGCCAGGATGTTTTTTAAAACCTAAGTCAGATCTTGATGTTATTCTGATCAAAAACCTGTCAGTGTTTTGACAGGCCTTCAGGGTTCCACATGCTCTGGCCTCTAGCTTTCCAACCTCATCTCACATTTCTCTTCCCTCACACCAGCTTCCTTGTAGTTCCACTGGACGCAGTTCTGTCTCAGGGACTTCGCACTTGCTGTCCTGCCTGCCTTGTAGGGTTGTTGTGAACTATAAAGAAGTTACTACATGTAAAGAAAGTGCTTAGAAAAGTACCAGGCACATAGTTGGGTTTCAATAAATGTCTTTTAAATGTAAGTGGTTAACATTTCAAGTTTGTAATATGTTCTCTGATTTTTTAACTTAGGAAGTATACTTAATACTTACTTTTTTAATATATCTTTAAAATTAGGAATTTGATGAATCTTCACCCAAACAACCTACAAATCCTTATGCATCGTCTAAAGCAGCTGCTGAGTGTTTCGTACAGTCTTATTGGGAACAGTATAAGGTAAGAATTGGCTTCAGAAACTGGAATCATTTTTTTTTTGGACTTGGGTATTAAAACTCCAGGTTATCATTAGGCAGCATTTCATTTTTAGAGTAGAAGACATAGACTGAGAAAAGTTATATATTAAGAAATCTTAAAAACTAATTTTCAACATTTTGTGGGCAAAGCATTGACCTTCCTTCTTATCCAGTCCACCATTTAAAGGAGCAATTTCTGGGGATTTCCCTGGCAGTCCAGTGGTTAGGACTTGGCGCTTGCACTGCCATGGGCCTTGGTTCAGTCCCTGGTCTGGGAACCAAGATCCCGCAAGCCACACAGTATGGCCAAAACAGTAAATAAAAAAATAAAGGAGCAATTTGTATATATGTTGTTTCTACTTCGCTAATAGGTAGAGTGTGACAGCTAGAGTGAAAAGCCCTGTTGGAAAATCCTGATTCCAAGGAGTCCTCAGAGTGAAGGGAGACAGAGGGAGAGGAGATTCCCTTAGCTGCCACTGCTCCTCTCAGCCCCTCGTGAACGGAGCTGGATTTGTCCCCGTGGCTGTGTCAGTGTCCCTGCGGGAGTCTTGCCCACTGTGAATCTTCAGCTTGAATCCCTGCACTTCACTTCCCACTGATCTTCCAGTTATTCGGGACTGGGTCAGAAAGGAGAAGCAAGGAATTACTTCAGGTTCTCTAGCCTCTTATGTTCCGGTAGCATTGGTCTTGTAGCTCTTTTCATTTGTAAGGGTTGTTCCAACAGAGAAAGCCAACTTGGAAGTTTAACATCTCAGATGGTCTTTGAAATAATCAGGTGGAAATGTCCTTAGTTTCCTGAAATCAGACCTACAGACCTGCCTCCATCTATTTTCATCCTTCCCTTGTCCCAGTAAAGAGACTCTTCTTCTTCTTTATTTTGGAACCTCTGTCTTTTTCTGAATCTCATCCTCTCCTGTCTTTTCAGGAACCTTACATTAGAAAAAAAATCCCTTCGCTTCTGTCCTAAAGGTGTGTGGAATTATTTAGCCAAAAGTGCCCATATTTTAAAACTGCTTATCTTTATATAATCAATTATTGGACCTTTCCATGACCTTAATGTCTAATACTCTTTAAGTTTCCAGTTGTCATCACACGAAGCAGTAATGTTTATGGACCGCATCAGTATCCAGAAAAGGTACATTTTACTTTTGAATTCACGTTGTGTTTTAGTGATTGTAACTTCTCATGATTTAAAATAATCTCACTTCAGTTATTTGTACAAAATGACTTATGTTGTAATTAACCATAATTATAAATGCTATATAGGCCACATGCAAATCTCGATAGGTTTGGAGTGTGGCAGCTTGATTTCAGTCTCAGCTTGATACTTACAAACTGGTATGGCCTTAGTTAAGCCCTTGATGGGCTTATCATTACCTTGATGGGTAATGATAATATTTAGGAAGAATTTTGAAAGATCCAGTGAGATGATGTATGTGAAGATGCCTTGTACGTTGCAGGATTCTAAAGCACTATAGAATACTCCCATCATTAATATCTTGCCAGTGAAGACTCCTTCCTAGTTTGCAGTCAGGCCATATGTCAGGCTGAACGGAAAGGTAGACACTAGTTTCAGAGTGATGCAGGAAGCTTGTACATAAATTTGTCTTACAATCTGCTGATTAACTGTTCCCCAACTCCTCTGTATTATGCAGGCCTGAGTGTCTTCCAAAAAGTAGTTTAGCAAATAAGATGTGTGGTTAAAAGGCTGAAAATGAGTATATGGTTGATTCTGTACCATAAAGCCCAATGTTAAGTAACTACTAGTCTCACTGCTAAACTTTCTAGCTGGGTTTTCTTACTTCTTAGCTTTTGGATTGATCTGTCTGCCCAAAGAAAAGGACCATATCATGATCTGCTGATATTAATATATACTTGGCTTAATTTTTAGAATATTCTTAACGTGTTTATTATAAATTCAATAATTTCTTGTCTCACCGTGTTTAACATAAATGTTCTTTGAATACAGTGGCACTAGAATTGCTTTTTGTTAATTTCACAATAACTTATTGAGTAGATACTGTATTTAAAGTAAGAAGTAAGCTATGATTTGTGCCCATAGAAAACCAACACAAAACTGAGCTTACAGTGAGAATAAACTGTTCATGAAGACTTTACCTGAACTCTTTTTCACTATTTATATCATCTTATCTTCATCTTAATCTAGTGGATAACTGGTTTTATGAAATAGGAAATGATCTTAGAGTTCTTTTACTTATCAGAATTACAATAGGTATTTTGTGAACTGATAAGAATTAAAATTTACCCTTAAGTGTGTTTCTTAACAATAATAATATTTTAATGTTATGATGAGTTCAAGTTTATAGTTATGAATGAATTTCCAAAGTCTGAAATGATATTTAAATATTCTTTTAGGTTATTCCAAAATTTATATCTTTACTACAACACAACAGGAAATGGTATGTTATATACCTTTATATGCATGTTTTTCTGGTATGTTAGAGTATTTAGTGTCAGTCTTTCTTGAAAATCATAAAGCGTTAGAGTTGGAGGCCTTAGAGTTTAGTGTCACAGCAAATTTAAGCATGCCTTCTACAATTAGTAGTAATAGTTTTTAAAATAATTATAATGGTTAATTCATCTTTATAATTTGATTATGGATAATTTTAATTCTTAAATAATCTACCTTAAAACTTTGAGTTATGGCATTACAATTTGTCATCTATCTTTATGTAATTTTATTTTTGCAAAAGATTTATTTAATTCCTAGAACTATAGATAGTCTTCAAAGTGAACTTAAGGTATAGAATTGATAATAACTATTTCTGCAGGGGTCACTTAGGTGTTTGCCACTTTCCTAATGAGTACCCACAGATGGTTTGGAGATGTGTTAGGAATTATGGAGAAAATTTAGAAGTCATGAGAATTTGTATTTTCAGTAAGAGATATCTAGGATCTTTATGGGAACTGGCTTCTCTGAAATTGTACTGTCATTGCGTTACCCAGATTTGGGAGAGCTTACTTTTTTACACTTTATGATTCTCTTTTCATCTTTTTAGCTGCATTCATGGGTCAGGGCTTCAAACAAGAAATTTCCTTTATGCTACTGATGTAGTAGAAGCATTTCTCACTGTCCTCAAAAAGGGAAAACCAGGTGAAATTTATAACATAGGAACCAATTTTGAGATGTCAGTTCTCCAGCTTGCCAAAGAACTAATACAGCTGGTATGTATATATTATAAAAGGATAATATTTTCAAAATAGTCACTGAATTAGTAATAGTAATCACAAATTTTGTCAAAATCATCAATTTACCATTTACTCACTGGAAAAGTGAACAGGTAAGAGAAAGAACTTCATAATTATGTGCTGAGATGTGTCATTTTTGGAAAGTGTATCAGTCATTCAGTCACAGCTTTTCAGGAAAAAAATTCCACTATATTAAATGTACATATCCACTATAAGACATAATCAATTTCAAAAAATCAAATGTTAATTTGTGTGCCCTAGAATCAAGAAACAATGATATATAAATAATAGTTCTGTATGTATTAGTGAGCATCAATTATAAATCTCAAGATGCAGTAGAAAGAACAACTGAACAAATGGAAAAGCGTGTTTTCCTTTGCACTACTCACTTAACATTTCTATACTCCAAATGTGTGGGTTTTCTACACCTAGCAATTCTCAGACACTAGCTTAGTAGGGTCCTACAGTTTAACTCAGTTCTGACATTATCTACCTGGAGATGGTGTCAGATCCCATAGGTTAAGGGTTCAGTCCCACAAGACTGCCCTCACTTCACACGTCAGTCCTGAGACCTGACTGTCACCTGTGTTTCCGATCAGCCAGGTTTAAGTCTGAGATAATCTGCTAGAGGAAGTCACAGAACTCAGGAAAAGAGTTTGCCCACTAGACTGCCGGTTTATTACAGAGGATGGAGGAGATCCTTAGGGCACACGATACGAGGGAAAGCAGATGGAGCTTCCTGCCCTCTGTGTGTGCCACCCTCCCGGCACCTGGACCCTCTCCTCGTGGGGTCTCTATGGAGGCTTCATTAAGTAGGCATGATGGGTTAGATCATGGCCACTGATGATTAGTTCAACTTCTAGCCTCCTCCCCCTCCCCGGAGGTGGGGGCAGGAAGGCTGAGTTCCATCCTCTAATTGCTTGGTTGGTTCCCGTGGCAACCAGTCTTCATCCTTAGGGGCTTTCCAAAAATTAGTAATTAACATAAACACTGATGTAGTTGAAAGGGACTTCTTGTAAATAGCCAACAACACCTTTACCTCTCATCACTTAGGAATTTTTAGGAGCTCTGTGCCAGGAACAGGGATGAACATCAAATAGACGTTTCTGATTTTAAGTCATAATATCACACTCAGTAATAATCCAAAGCCAAAAAATTCATTTTTTTCCTCTAGTTTTTATAATGTGTAATCTTTCTGAGCTTCAGCTAGAATTTAGATTATAAAGTGTTGAAAGTGTTAATAAAATGTTATTCACCTTAGCTGTCTTCCCCACTTGGAGGAGGCTGTTTTTCTTGTTGTTTGAATCAGTTGAATACCATTTTTATTCACTGATCTCATTTTATAATTTGACTTAAATGTCTTCTCCTTTTTGACAGATCAAAGAGACCAATTCAGAGTCTGAAATGGAAAACTGGGTTGATTATGTTGATGATAGGTGAGTAACAAGTTAAAGAATTGGAGAAAAGTTTTGAAATCTTAGGTACTTATAAGATTATAAATGTATGGCCTTACCCAGAAAAGTTTCTCTCTTCAGTTTTCTGCTAAAATATTTTTTCCTAATTATAAATGTCATAAGAATACATGTGTGATTTAAAGTTTATTGACCCTTTCCAAGTCTGAGATTTCCTTGAGTGTGACAAAGGGATGATAACATCTTGCTATGGAAGTATTTTAAAATATAATTTCTAATGTCTATAAACTATCAGACCCAGGACATGTAACATAAAGAGTCCTAACAAGTTTATATGTGGTTGAAATAAGTAAAGGATAAGCCACAGAGGGTTAGGCATCTGAATTATAGATGGTTTTTAACATATACTTTATTTTATAAATTTTCTATAATGGAATCATCAGGGGAAAATTTTTGAGAAAAAAAATTCAAATTATGGACTCATTATTTCTCTTAAGTATTTAACTTTGTAAATATATATCCACAATGTCATTTTAAATCTGTTTTGTTTTCTAAGACCTACCAATGACATGAGATATCCAATGAAGTCAGAAAAAATACATGGCTTAGGATGGAGACCTAAAGTACCTTGGAAAGAAGGAATAAAAAAAACAAGTATGTTATGAATTGATCCCTTGAGGGTAGGGGGAGATTCAGAAAAATTTTAAGGCACAATAATTTGTTTTTTAGGAGACTGCAAATTTGGCAGAATGTTATGGTAAATCAATTTCACTTTTCAAATTTTTACATTTAATTTATTTCTAATACTAGTAGTTAAGTGTCCTGAACTTCATAGACTAACTTCTGATCAGGCTTCTTATTAGCATTTGTCAGATACCTATTTCATTGATTCTCAGATGCACATTTTTTGCTTTTTTCGCCTCCTTCAGAGGTATGTGTTTTACAGTCACTAGTGTCTGATAATTCTGTTTCAACTTTTTTTTCTTTCTTACTAATCTGTAAAGTAATGGTTCATCTTAAGATCAGACGTCTGAGATTTGGTAAAATAGAGACAGTTGCAGTCTTTAAGTCTCTTGAATCTTTTTATACTGAAACAAATAGGAAACAAATTTAATATGTGCAGCAGAAATGTATTAAAATAAGTCTATATAAAATCTGTGTATAAATATGTATAACTGTTAAATTCTGTTTAGAAATGTACTCATGAGAAAAGATAGCCAAGTGTAGGAAAAAAGTCTTGGTTCAGAACTGGACATACAAAATACTTATATTGAGTTCTAAAAAGCAAATTCAAAGATAATTTATCATTTTTTCAACTGGAAAACTTTGTTAATAAGACAGCAGCATAAAGTAATTTTACATATTAACAGAAGGAAGTTCACATCTCACTGTGCCTATCATGCAATATTGTGACATTTACATGAACAAAAGACTATACTTTTTTTCTATGACTTTAAAACCAGCATAAGTGACTTAGCTACCTTTCCCCCTGAATTGTCTAAAATCAGAATGTTTTAACACTTATACCAGCAAATTCAGTATTGAAGGACTTTTGAAGTTAAAGAGAAAAAGAAATGTTGATTCTTTTTTTCTTTTATTTAAACTTTTTATTTTGTATGGTACAGCCAATTAACCATGTTGTGAAAGTTTCAGGTAAATAGTGAAGGAACTCAACCATACATATTCATGTATCCATTCTCCCCCCAAAATTGTTGATTCTTAAATCTAAGTTTTCAGGTGATGAAACATCTCCTGATTAACATCATTGGTTCAAAATCAAATTGTTTTCATCATTAGGCAATCTTTGCCTACACATTAGCTGATGAGCAAGACTTTTCTTATTTAGTAGGAACTCAGTAAATAGTTGGTTAACTGATGTTTAGTTTTTTTAATTTTTTTGTCTTTTGTCTTATCAGTTGAGTGGTACAGAGAGAATTTTCACAACTGGAAGAATGCAGAAAAAGCATTAGAACCCTTTCCGGTACAACCACCATTTGTATAGCTGGGACAGTTTTCAGAGAAAGAAGAAAAATTATCCTACCTACCTCGACAAGCAATATGAAATCAAGTGACCAGATGAAGCATCTTCTTTTTCATTTGGAATTAGATTATGACTTTGTGTATAAAAATCAAATGTAAAATGCCTCAATCTATAGAAGAGGTTCAGTTTCACCATAGGATTTAAATAGTCATAATTCTCTCAGAAACATTTTATCCTGAAAATTAGGAACCAGTATGCATAGAAAGACTCCTTGGTAGATGGGGGTTGGGAAGGATGAATCTCCTGTTTCTGAGAACAAGGTAATAGCGCTGGGTAGATGATAGCCTTTGCTGACATTGAGCTCTCCGGCTTTTCCCACTGCCTAGAAAGTCTCTGAAGTCTTTTAGGCAATGTAGGATGAGCCTTATGCGCTAATTTATGTTTTTAAGGTCAGATGTCATGCTACAGTTGCTTTAAAAATGGAACAAATGGAAGCATATCTAGCACTTTTTAACTTTTGATAATTTTTATAAAATTAAGTTATAAAAGAGGTAGTTTTTATATTTTCAAAATTGATCATGGAACTATATAAGTCATCTCGTATCAGAGAAATTTTTTTGTATTTACTGTTTAAAATGGTTTTATTTATAAAATTATCAATATTTTCATGTGTTTAATGTATCATGTGGCTTTTTTAAAAGTATGTCTTTGTTTTGTACAAAATTTTTAAAGTACTTGATTATCATGTATTTTTAATTCCTCTCTCCCCTAAAGTCTTTAAGATGATTTGAAAAGGTAACTGATTGGATATCACACTGAGTAAAGGAAAAGAGTCAAAGGCTACACCCAACTTTCTGGCTTCAGTGTATGAGTGGTCGTTTGTTTCCTCTGTGGAGTAGAAAGTGAGGTTATTAACTCAGAAGTGGTTGAGGATGGGCGATAGATTGGAGAATGTGAAGCTTGGGAAAAGAGTAGGAAGCAAATCCAAAATTAGTAAGGGGACTTGCCAAACAAGAATGAAACATAAACTGAAGTTAAAACACTGTCATTTCAGAATTCTGACAGCTGTAAGAATAGACCGAGCCAGAGTTGGGCGTAGTATGAGGCGCAAGGACTAGACAAGAACAACTGATATGATGGTTCTCTGGTCTTAGTTGTATAGGGAAGGAGTGCTTCTTGGAGCTCTGGAGAAAGTGGAGTTGGGGTAAGACCTCAGGGGAGCGGCTGTAGGAAGTTACAGGCAGAAAATGGAACGAACAGAGCAAATTGTCTTCAATGGCATTTGGTCATTAAGGGTAGATGACAAAATAAAAACACTCACTCTGTGTCCTTTGTTCTGCATCATTTGTTCTTGCACGTATGTTTGTGATCTTTTCGTTCAGTGAAAGTACCCCGTATAATGATATGATGTCCATATGTCAATTTATATCTATCCAAGGGCTTCCCTCGTAGCTCAGTTGGTAAAGAATCTGCCTGCATTGCAGGAGACCTGGGTTCAATCCCTGGGTTGGAAAGATCCCCTGGAGAAGGGAAAGTCCAGTATTCTAGCTGGGAGAATTACATGGACTGTATAGTCCCTGGGGTCACAAAGAGTTGGACTTGACAGATTGACTTTCACTTTCAAAGCCAGAGAATGTATAAGAGCCAGAGTGAACCTTAAGATAAACTATGTACTTAGGGTGATTATTACATTTCAATTTGGATTCTTCCTTGGTTAAAAAAAATAGAAGCACCATTCTGATGAATCATGTTGATAATAAAGGAGCTATACATATGTAGGGTCAGGGAGTATATGAGACACCTTTGTTCCTCCCTTTCAATTTTGTGGTAAACCAGAAACTGCTCTAAAAAATCATCTTTAAAAAAAAAAACAACTTCGGGACTTCTCTGGTGGTCCGATGGTTACGAATCTACCTGCCAATGCAGGAGGCATGGGTTCAATCCCTGGTCGGGGAAGATCCCACATGCCACGGGGCTACTAAGCTCGTGCACAACTCCTGAAGCCCCCACGCCCTAGAGCCTGTGCTCTGCAACAAGAGAAGCCCCCACAGTAGAAGCCTGTGCACTGCAGGGAAGACCCAGCAGCAACCTAAATATGTAAAATATTTAAAAAGAAACAAAAAAGAACAACTTTAGAAAAGAACAATGCTGAAAACTTTTTGTCTCCAAGAGCCCTTTAAAACTGCCTCCCTTTTCTCCCTGCTGTGTATTCAACTTACTGCTGACTTTCATTCTGTCTCCATGGCAGGAATTCTCCTTTGGGTCATCAGCCTCAGAAACCATCCTGAAAGGGACTTCCCTGGTGGTCAACTGGTTAAGACTACATTTCCAATAATGAAGGGGGCACAGGTTCAATCCCTGGGTGGGGAACTAAGGTCCCAGATGCTATGTAATATAGCCAGTAAACTGAGAAATACTTTAAAAAAAACCTGGGAAATAACCATCTACTCTCATTACTTTAATCACTATCTTTTTTTTTTTTCCAATTTCAGTTCCTTATCTCTACCCAAGATCTCTTCTGAGCTTCTGAGCTTCTGATCTCCAGTCACCTAGAGCCAGACATCCTGGAATGTGAAGTCAAGTGGGCCTTAGGAAGCATCACTACGAACAAAGCTAGGGGAGGTGATGGAATTCCAGTTGAGCTATTTCAAATCTAAAAGATGATGCTGTGAAAGTGCTGCACTCAATATGCCAGCAAATTTGGAAAACTCAGCAGTGGCCACAGGACTGGAAAAGTTGTTTTCATTCCAATCCCAAAGAAAGGCAATGCCAAAGAATACTCAAACTACCACACAATTGCACTCATCTCACACACTAGTAAAGTGATGCTCAAAATTCTCCAAGACAGGCTTCAACAGTACGTGAACCATGAACTTCCAGATGTTCAAGTTGGTTTTAGAAAAGGCAGAGGAACCAGAGACCAAATTGCCAACATCTGCTGGATCATCGAAAAAGCAAGAGAGTTCCAGAAAAACATCTATTTCTGCTTTATTGACTACACCAAAGCCTTTGACTGTGTGGATCACAATAAACTCTGGAAAAGGAAGCCTGGCAGGCTGCAGTCCATGAGGTCACAAAGAGTTGGACATGACTGAGCGACTGAACTGAACTGATCTCCAGTTTGAAATAAATTTGATTAAGGGCTCAAAAACTTAAACATAGAATTACTATATGATCCAGCAATTTCACTCCTAGGTATATATCCCAAAGAATTGAGAACAGGATCTCAAACAGGTGCTTGTATACCAATGTTCTAGTGAACATTCCAGAAGCTGGAACCTATCCAAACGTACATCTACAAATGAATGAAAAGATGTGGTCAGTACAAACAATGGAATGGTATGATTCCACTTAATTGAAGTACCTAAAGTAGGCAAATTCATAGACACAGAAAGTAGAGCAGAGATTGAGCAGAGGCTGAGAGAAGAGGGGAGTTATTGCTTAATGGGTACAGAGTTACTATTTGGTATGATGAAAAAGTTCTGAATGTGGATGATGGTTGCATCCTGAATGTACTTGATGCCGCTGAATTGTACACTTAACAATTAACATAGTAAATTTTTTGCTATGTAAATTTTAGCACCATAATAAAAATCTTCTTAATATGTACCCAGACCAACAGCATTTTTATCTGTTGTTAGACCTGCAAATTCCTGGGCTCCATCACAGACTTACAGAATCTGAAACTCTGGGGATGGGGCCCAGTGATTCTGATCACTAATGTTTCAGAACCTCTGCTCTATGATGTGAGACGGGGAGAGGAGGCCAGAGAGCAATGTAACTGGGCTGTGGAGGGGCTTGTCTGCCATGAAAAAAGTGCTTTTACCTCATTCTTCCGGGTTTCCCTGGTGGCTCAGCAGTGAAGGATCTGCCTGCAATGCAGGAGACCCCTCAGGAGACGGAGGTTCGATCCCTGGAAAGGAAGATTCCCTGGAAAAGGAAATGGCAACTCATTCCAGTATTCTTACCTGGACAATTTCATGGACAGAGGAGCCCGGTGGGCTACATTCTATGGGATCGCAAAGAGTCAGATATGACTGAGCACTCACTCATACCTCATTATTCCAGCACCAGCAGAGAGTTCATTCAGGATTTTAAGGAAGAAATCAACATCATTGGATTTGTGAGATTTATCTAATTCTTAATTTCAAACTACTATGTGCTCATTGCAGAACACTCAGAAAACTAAATCAATAAAAAATGCAAACCACTCAAGGTCTACCACTGGACAAAGACTCTGGCTAATATTCAGATGTATGTTCTGCATTTCATTTGTTGGAATGTATATACACATTTTAAAATACTAAAATGGGATCAGAATGAACCTACTGTTTGGGAGCCTGCTTTTTTTTTTTCATTAAGCAATGTATCATGAACATTTTTACATATTATGAGATCTTTTGCCATTTTTATTGACTGCAGAATTACTTTTTTGATAGCTCATTCTGGCAACAGGATGAAAGATGAATTTAAAGGAAAGCAAGATTGAGCTCCTGCAGGGATCCAAGTTATGAAGCTGTGGCAGTAAATCAGGCCGGTGATGATAAGGCCTGAAGCACCACACCCCAAACACGTTGCATCGGTGACAGCAGTGAGAACTCTTTAGATTAAAAAACCTCATTGATTGATTATATGTGGGAGGTGCACTCTCTTGGGTGGTATTTTAAGGTTTTGAATGTTGAATTGGAAAGAGTGGAGAATGGTAAATTCTATTTCGCAGATGGTGAACTTTAGGGAAGCCCCGGGTGACTCAGAGGTAAAGAATCCCCCTGCAATGAAGGAGACGAAAGAGACATGGGTTTGATCCCTGGGTCGGGTAGATCCCCTGGAGGAGGAAATGGCTACCCACTCTAGTATTCTTGCTGAAAAATCTCATGGACAGAGGAGCCTGTCTGGCTACAGTCCACGGGGTTGTGAAAGAGTCAGACACGACTGAGCACACATGCATGAGTTTTAGGGATCTGTGGGATATCCAAGGACACGGACTCCAGCCCTCCAGGCCCCTCTGTCCATGGAGTTCT